TGTGTTTGATTCTGCCCTGCTGCCAGCCCTTTCCCCTTGCCCTGGGCTGGCGAGGATTTCTGGGCGCAGGGAGCCAGCTGCCGCCCCCACCTGTCTGGCCGGGCAGCCAGTCCTCTCGCCGGAGCCGGCGCAGCGGCTGTCCCCGCTCACACCCCAGATCCGCGGCTCAGAGCACGGTCTGGCCCAAGCGCAGCTCTGCAGCACCCTTCTGCTGAAGTCACTGGTGACCTCTGTGCCAAGCCCGGTGATGTCTCTATAGCACTGGGCACCAGAGAGCCCTTTGGGGCCGGCCGCCCTGAAATACACCCGGCATCTAACTGGCCCTGGCAGTGAGACCGTTCACAAGCGACGGTACAGCACAGTGGTCAGGAACACGGTCTCTAAAGGCAGATTGTGTAGGTTCGACAACTGACCACTTACCATCTTGTAATCTTTTGACAGATGATTTAACTTCCGTGTGCCTCCATTTCCTCATCTGAGAAATGGGGATAATGTTAGGTACTAGCTATCTCCTAGGGTGGTTGTGATGCTTAAATGAGAAAGTTATCTGTAAACTTCTAGGAACAACGCCTGGTGCACAACAAATACTCAGTAATTAGCTATTGCTATTATTGGAGTAGGTGCAGACTGGTAGAAAATTGCAGTAGTACACAGGATCGCCATGTTCCCTTTCCCCAGTGTCCCCTCATGGTAACACCTAACTATAGTGCGATGGTCAAAAGCAGCAACTTGACATTTGTGCAAGACTCGTCACTGAACTAGACCTTATTCCAATTGTGCCATTTCCTGATTGTAGAGGCTGTCTGGCAAATTGGGGTTGAGATCCTTAAGGGCCTCCTGAGATAAACGCAGGCTTCCCTGGCTGTCCCTACAGGTGCTGTAGGCCTGGGGGGACTGGGACAGACTTTGTGGTCACAGTCTCTTCCCAGCAGAGCTTCAGAACCAAAGAGGGCTTGCCTGAGGCAGCACTGCTTATTTCAGCCTGTTTAAAAGGCATATTCTTGGCCGGGCACGGTGGCTCACGCCTGTAATCCTAGCACTCTGGGAGGCTGAGGCGGGCGGATTGCTCAAGGTCAGGAGTTCAAAACCAGCCTGAGCGAGACCCCGTCTCTACTATAAAAATAGAAAGAAATTAATTGGCCAACTAATATATATATACAAAAAAAATTAGCCGGGCATGGTGGCGCATGCCTGTAGTCCCAGCTACTCGGGAGGCTGAGGCAGGAGGATCGCTTGAGCCCAGGAGATTGAGGTTGCTGTGAGCTAGGCTGACACCACGGCACTCACTCTAGCCTGGGCAACAAAGCGAGACTCTGTCTCAAAAAAAAAAAAAAAAGGCATATTCTTGATACAATGAAACGTACATTTTAATCACAAGCATTTGTCGTTGAACCGTATTTGAATGAACACCACAAAGGTATGCAATTTTTTAACGAGAGAAATCTAGTGAGACTCATGGATTTTCTTGTTTGTCCCGGCCACCAGGATTTAATCCCCCTGCCCCTGCCACGGGTCAAGAGCAGTGACCAAGTTCCCACGGCCTGGGCAGCTCTGGCGTCCCTGCTGGGTGACAGTGCCGAGGAACTTCCCACCTTGCTGGGCCCTGAGCTGTGCACCTGAGTTGCTGCTGCCGACGGCAGATGGCCGTGGGCTGGTTCACTCTCCTCTGGGTCTGTCTAGACAGGGCTATGATCTAAGCCTGCGGCAGAGCTGATGGACCACCAATGGGTCCAACTTACCAGCTTGCCCTTGCTACAAACACCAAGGCAGAACGCAGACCCTTCTCAGTCACACTTGTAGGTTTGTTGGAACGAGACATGCTTTAGGTTTTGCGTGTGCAGACAGCTCAACTACATTTCCAGTAATTACCTCGTCTCTGTCACGAGAACAGGCTTCATCAAACACTTACGGAGGCAGCCAAGCGTTTGGAAGCTGAGACCAACCCGGACCGTGAGCAGTGCACCTTTTTGCTATGTACAATCTTCTTTTCCCAAAGGTTCCTTCTGGTTCCAGATTAACAGGTTTCCAGGGCCCTGTCCCCCATCTGCCCTGCCACCAGCCACTCGTGTTGGTACAGTGTTAACGGCATACATGACAGGCCCTTAGAGCACACCCGACCCACCCTTCACTGCAGTTGTGGCCTAGTGACAGATCCGAGGCAACAAATGACCTACAAGTACTTTCTCTCTCCCGGGTAATGTACGTCAGTCATGGGAAAAAAACAAAAGCAGCTTGTTTTGCAGCCAGAGACAAGCGAGACTCACCACTTTGTTTTGTTGTGTCAACAACTAGTGTTCACCCCTACATTTCAAAAACTTCAAGCAATAGTTAAGGAAGATCACCTGCCAACCTGAGGCACTCTTCGGAGGTCACTTAAGAGAACGGTCTCTGCAACTTCACAAGAAAGTCACTGTCATTCTCCACGCAGATCCTCAGCCCAACCGCGTTTCAAACCCAGTTCATAGACTATTAATAGAAATATGATTTTGTCGCCATAACACAATCTACAGATCGTGTGGCCTTAGGGTTTTTTTGCTTTTTTTTTTTTTTGAGACTTTGTTGTCCAGGCTGGAGTGAGTGCCGTGGCATCAGCCTAGCTCACAGCAACCTCAAATTCCTGGGCTCAAGCAATCCTTCTGCCTCAGCCTCCCAAGTAGCTGGGACTACAGGCATGCGCCACCATGCCCGGCTAATTTTTTCTATATATAATAGTTGGCCAATTAATTTTTTTTTTTTTTTTTATTTATAGTAGAGACAGGGTCTCACTCTTGCTCAGGCTGGTTTCAAACTCCTGACCTCAAGCAATCCACCCGCCTCGGCCTCCCAGAGTGCTAGGATTACAGGCGTGAGCCACCGTGCCCGGCCTGGTCTTAGGGTTTTTTGAGTCTTGTTACATTGCCCAGGCTGGTCTCAACTTAAGCTCCTGGGCTCATGTGATCCTCCTGCCTCAGCCTCCTGATTGGCTGAGACTGAAACGCCACTGCACCCAGCTGGTCATAGGTGATTGTTATTTGTACCTGCTTGTATTATGTTCCTTTTCATCTACGTGGACAACCAAAAATTCATTTTATCGCTGGCTCTATGTGTTTCAGAGTTTCTGTGAGAATCAAACGAGACACTAATCTAGGACTATGAGCTATAAAAATGTGAAATATCATTTGCAACTTTTTCAAAAGGACAGTTCCCTTAAAAAATCTAGAGAGACTGAGTTTCAGCTCATCACATGATGGTCTGCTGGTCCATCATGTGGGCAAGACAGGCTGTAACTAGTCATGAGGACATTGGCAAAACAGACATGGGACAGCCACCCCTACAACACTGCGGGGACTAAGAGTATAGAAAAGTCAGTCCTAGTCCAACTCTCACAAAACCGTGCTCATTGGGGAAAAAACCCAGAAGTATACCAGAAACCAAACAATAAAAATTTAATCAAACTCAAGAGCTATAAACCACACTAAAACTTCTTGCAAATGCCAACCTTTAACCCCTAAACTACCCTACTGAACAAGAATGTACTTTTGTTAATACTACAGTTGACAGACACTAACACAAGAACTAAGATTGAGTTGTAGATATAAAATAGACCACAGACTGCTGAATTAGTCACGAATGCCCATGACAAAACTTTTTTTCTTAAACTCATCTTTGAGGCTGTTTGCTGAGAGCACTCCTGGTACCAGGTACTCTATCAGTCGGGAAGACTGACACAAATAAGGTATTTCTAAACCGAGGGATTTAATACAGGAACTGGCTACACAGTTGTTAAAATGCTAAACCAACAAAAAGAGAACTTAGCAATTAATAACAGAAGTAGCTGCTACCCCTAGGGCTGGGGAGCAAAAAGAGTGGGTGTTGCCACAACTTTGGGGCTCGGAGGAAGGACCTCTGCAAGCTGCGCTGAGCTTTGAGGAAGGTGCTCAGACCGAGGGCAGGATGCAGGTACACCAACTGCTGAGGATACAGCCCAACAGGAGGCAGGATGGACCCCCAGGCAGGACACTGACAAGGGCAAATGAGTACCCCAGGCGGGGCTCAGTGAGGCTGGGGCTGGGGTCCCGCAGAAGCCAGCAGTCAGAGCCGACCATCTGTTGTTACTGCAGGGAGGCTGACGGGAACGGCAAGCAGGCTCCTTCTTCCTGCTGTCCAACTCCCTCCAGTTTCTCCCACCAGTAGACCTTAACAGGGCAAGAGTGTTGGCAAATATATTTTAGAGTACCAGCCCCAGCATCACAGAGCAGAACACAGAAGAGCAGGCTTAGAGGTGGGAGAATGGGTAACTGGCACCATCAGTGATCAGTCACGGGTGATGAAAGTACACACGTCTAATAAAAATCTTGAGGACACCACACACACACACACTCCATCAAGTGTGCAGTTTAGTGGCACGGGAGTGTATTCACACTGCTGGGCTACCGTCACCACCACCCATCTCCAAAACTTTCCCAAAACTCAAACTCTATACCCACTAAACACCATCTCCCAACTCCTCCCTCTCGCCAGGCCTGGCAACCACCACTCTACTTCTGTCTCTATGAATCCGACTACTCTATACACTGTGTGAATGAAATATAGTATTTGTCCTTTTGTGACTGGCTGATTTCACTTGGTGTAACGTCTTCCAGGTCATCCAGGTTTGTAGCATGTGTCAGGATTTCCTTCCTTTTTAAGGCTGAACTACATTTTGTTTACCCATTATTTTGTTCATAGACATTTGGGTTGTTTCCACCTTTTGGCTATAGTGAATAACCCTGCTGTGAACATGACTGTACAGTATCTGTTAGAGTCTCTGCTTTCCATCTTTTGAGCATATACTAGAAGCTGAATTGCTGGACCATGGTAATTTTACGTTTAACCCTTTGAGAAACCATCAAGCCATTTCCCATAGTAAAGAAAACTATACTTTTCCTATCTAAAACACTCAAAAGATTAAGCTGTGGAGTTCATGAAGAATACTGTCATATATACAACTGATAATTGCATAAATAAATATGGTAACTCAATTGTCATTCATAAATACAAAATTTTATTTGCACTTCATTAGTGTAGAAAGACCACAATGCTTTTCATACCACAACACTCAAGACACGCCAAGTTATTCAAATACATAATTACTTATTTACCTTGACTAAACAAAACAGTGCAGTTTAATAAAAGATATACCAAAGGTAGAATTCACAAATTATCAGACCAAAAAAAAAAAAAAAATGAAAACGAAAAAAAAGGAACATAGTCTAGGCATAACTGGAGTAAGCTTCACCATAAAGGGGAGAAGTCTTCTCATTACAAAGATACAGGATGTTTAGGCAAATACATGTATGTTCTTTGATATAGTAAAATGTATCTCTTTAAAATTCCTTTAAACAGGATTTATTTAGGACAGCAGCGTTGTTTTAAAATCTTTTTCTATAGTCTCAAAAACATTTCTTTATTGAATCTTTGTAGTTCTCAAAAGGATAAAGTATGTCCCTTAAGAAGCCATGAGAGATTCTGCGGCCTTAGGACCAAGTCAAATCCAACCCTCTAACTAGTAATATTCTACCATTACATTACATTAATAAATAACCTTCAATGACAACCATGAATGGAGCTTTACTTTGTGGCAGAAACACTCCAATACTTCAAAGATGCTACAGCTGGGGGAAATGTCTTGTAAATAAAGAAAAAGCACTTAAGATACCTTTTTTCCAAAAAGTCTTCAGTTTTACAAATTTCCTTTAAAACAGCAAGCAAAGCACCACGTTCTCTCTTCTTACCAGAATATCTTCTGTCCTCATAATTTAATTAACAAGGACAATTATTTATTTCAAGAAACACTATACCTTTCATTCTCCCATTCTTCATATTAGAAGTACTAGGTTTCCCAGTGTATGTACACTAGACACTGGGGTAATGAATGAAATATAATAATTTGGAGGGAAATATGTAACTCATAACCAAAACTTACCCAGGATTGCATATTTGCATATTTACAAGTTAGTGTATAGCTCTGACTTGGATTACAAAGTGCGAAAGGAAATTGTCAAAATGATTGTAGTGCAGAATAGAACGTTCCCCCCCTCCAGAAACCGTTTCCACTTCGTCTCTAAAGTAGCAAATCAACAACATCGGACATGCGGTCTTGGCGGAGGCAGTTCTGGCGGTATCTCGGGCTCTGGTTGTAAGGAGAGGATGCTATTGGACAACTCATTCTTTAAGATATCCAGAGGCATCTAAAGGTTAAAGAGGAAAGACAAACACATTTTAACCTTATAAGGTACATTATTACAGCTGACCCTTGAACAGCCTGGGTATGAAGTGCACAGGCCCATTTATATGTGGATTTCTTTCAATAAAATTTATGCTAAGTGTGCCTACCTCTCCTCTTCCTCTGCCTACCTAACGTGACAATGACAAGGATGAAGACCTTTATGATGATCTACTTCCACTTAATAAATAACAAATGTATTTTCTCTTTTTTATGATTTTCTCTAACTTATTTTATTGTAAGAATACAGTATATAACACACATTACATACAAAATATGTGTTAATCAACTGCTTATATTACTGGTACAGCTTCCAGTCAACAGTAGGCTATTAGTAGTTAAGTTGTGGGGAGTCAAAAGTTATATGCAGATTTTTGACTTTGTGGGGTATCCCTGATCCCTGTGTTGTTCAAGGGTCAACTGTAAACACTTTGTAAATTGTACAATTATATAATAAACGAAGTATTGTTACATAAACCTCCCCGATCATCAAAGATTAATCAGATATTAAAATATTAAGCCCCTCCCCCCCAAAAAAAAACAGGTTCAGGGCATTGCATGTCACAACACCAAACACCAGGTACTCTACAGTCAGGAAAAGTCTATTTAATACCCTATGGTAGGCTGGGCACAGTGGCTCACACCTGTAATCCTAGCACTCTGGGAGGCCGAGGCGGGCAGATTGCTCGAGGTCAGGAGTTCGAAACCAGTCTGAGCAAGAGCAAGATCCTGTCTCTACTATAAATAGAAAGAAATTAATTGGCCAACTAATATATATAGAAAAAATTAGCCGGGCATGGTGGCGCATGCCTGTAGTCCCAGCTACTCGGGAGGCTGAGGCAGGAGGATCGCTTGAGCCCAGGAGTTTGAGGTTGCTGTGAGCTAGGCTGATGCCACGGCACTCACTGTAGCCTGGGGCAACAAAGTGAGACTCTGTCTCAAAAAAAAAACAAAACAAAAAACCCTGTGGTAGAAGAGATCTGACCAACCTCATAAACATTTATTTTCATAGTGCCCAGTATAATGAAAATTTAAGACATTAATAAATGAAAAAAATGGTCTGCATTCTAAGGACTTATATGCATGCTAAACAAGGAAATAACCTCTCTCTTAGCAATTATATAAACAACCATTTTATTAGAACCTTTTGAATTATGTTTGAACTGAGCAAATTTCACTTAATAGTAGTATAAATAAACTTCAGTTCTTACTAATAATCGTTGAATAAGCCTAAAGATGCCTGAATAAACCACTGCTGCTCAGTGAAGCTGTCCAGCAATTTTCTAGCCATTTAGCATCACGGAAAGGCCTTTGCGAAGTGGCTGCCACCGGGGAGCAGAGCTCTGAGGGGGACGAGCTCAGCTCCACGGGCTCTCTTCTCCCTTGAGACACCGGCACACTTTGCTAGGTCTCCACTGTCTCTATCGAACTTAATTCTCATGGGAAAACAGGACAAAAGAAAAACAAATGTCAAATAAACATGGCACAATACCACACCTTCAGTCACTGCACCAAGCCCTGTTTCAAGGCTGAGCAAACACACTGCACATCAACTCTACGGACACCAAAACCCCAGATGGGAAAGAAACAGGTGTCGCTGCAGCAGGTGGATGGCTCTGGCAGAGGTAACCACCACACTTGGTTCTTGAGCCTACGCGTAACTCCTATCTAAACAAAAATTCCCAACAACAAAGTAATAAAGGAAACAACAGTTTTCAGACGAAATATTTTCATGATGTAGATTCTTTTTTTACCTTTTTCAAAATGTCATCGACGAGTTTCAGAAATATCTCATCCACATTGAAGTTATCCTTGGCACTTGCTTCACAGAACCGCATCCCAGTTATCTGCTGTGCAAACTGAGAGAAGACACGCACGTATTTGCTCCGTGCGGGCTGCCACACGCACCAACACGTGAGCGCAAGGCCTGGCTTCTGGGGTGGAATCAATCCCAGCCTCTGGGCTCAGCTTTCAGGGAAGCGGTGGGACTAAAGGGCTGGAAAGTCCCATTTATGCCCAAATATAAAATTCCCAAGCGTAACAAATGCTAGCACTATGAGGAACTAGCAAAACAAAACACAACAAAATCCCTACGGTGACACCAGGACATATCTGACCTTTCACAGGTGAGCAGCATCATTCCCCCATGATTGAATCCTTAGCAAAAGCAAAGGAAACTTAAAATACATCAGAGCAAATCATGAAAGCAATTTTATGGCTTGAAAAATCTTTCTCTATAAAATGTCAGGTTAGATAATAATTCTATGTATACTAATCTGTTTATGTTTTCTCCCTCCATTTCAAAATGAAAATTTAAAGCAAGAAGTCAGGAAAAAGAAAAGTAAACAAATGAGAAGGATATAACTGAGTGATCACTGTATTGATAATTACTTCATAATATAAAATAATAAGTGATTTACTAAAATAAAAAGAACTTCAAGTCTAAGCACTGAGTGTGGGGCCTGGACCCCTGGGACTCCCATGCCTCTCACCTTTTCACCCTGTTGCCTGGTGATTTCTCTGTCCATTTCACAGTCCAACTTATTTCCAACTAAGAGAAGTTCTGCGTCTTCTGAAGCATACTGTGGAATTTTAAAAGAAGTTGCGTTTCAAAGATGGCACTGTCATGTACTGCAGAGGACAGGCAAAGCTACACAATGCTTTCCACTCATTTATGTTTGTGCGGGCACATCCAGCACCCGTGGGCACAGGGTGTGTGAGACAGGGCTCACCGTGTCCTAGAGAGCAGCCTGCTCACAGGCGCTAAGAACCACGATGCTCTCGACCTTTGACCCAACCAATCCTAAGACTCCATTCTAATGAAATGATTCAAACACAGGCAAAGCTCTATACTCAAAACAGTCATCAACTGAAAAACACCTAAAAGGCCCACAAAATAGATGAAGAATTCATTAAGTTAAAGTACTTCTTAAAAAACACAGCCATTAAAAACCAAAAATATGCTTTATTTATTTTTTTAAAGAACATTTAATGACACAGGAAGAGCTTCATGATAAAATATTTAATGAACTAAGCAAGATAAATGGAGTGAGTTCAGTCTGGTTTTTCAGGACAGTAAAACTATAAATTTTAAATTTACTTTTGTGCTTTTCTTGATTTCTCAAATTTCAATAATGAAAGTATCACCGATTTTATAACCAGGAAAAAAAGTTATGCTACATTTCTAAGTTTTTAAAAATATATAGGCATGGCCGGGCGAGGTGGCTCACGCCTGTAATCCTAGCACTCTGGGAGCCCGAGGCGGGCGGATTGTTCGAGGTCAGGAGTTCGAAACCAGCCTCGAAACCAGCCTGAGCAAGAGGGAGACCCTGTCTCTACTATAAAATAGAAATAAATTAATTGGCCAACTAATATATATATAGAAAAAATTAGCCGGGCATGGTGGCGTGCGCCTGTAGTCCCAGCTACTTGGAGGTTGAGGCAAGAGGACTGCTTGAGCCCAGGAGTTTGAGGTTGCTGTGAGCTAGGCTGATGCCACGGCACTCACTCTAGCCTGGGCAACAAAGTGAGACTCTGTCTCAAAAAAAAAAAAAATATATATATATATATATAGTCATAGCTGGGTATGGTGGTACACGCCTGTAGTCCCAGCTACTCGACAGGCTGAGGCAGGAGGATTGTTTGAGCCCAGGAGCTTGGAGTTGCTTGTGAGCTACGGTCAGGCCGCTGTACTACAGCCTGGGTAAAGGATGGAGACCCTGTCTCTTTCTCTCTTTTTAAAAAAGTTAAAATCTCTTGAATGACTTATTTAATTTTGTGTATTTCTAAAAAGTTATTTGAAACAGACTGCAACAAAGGACACCTGAATGGTGTGGCCGTGGCTCAGGTACTCAGCCAAGCAGAACCTCAGTCTCCTATCAGTGATGTGTGGCAACAGTGACAGCACCTACCTGCAGTAAGCACTCAAGAAATGATGCTCTCGCTCACATAATGATGAGAAGCAAGAGCCAAGCACCAAAGAAGGACACAGCATTAGACCTCAAGACCTAGTCAGATTCACAAATTCAAGTACCTAACCAGGCCTTAGGATTTAGGCCGTTTCTTACGGTTTCATATTCATCTTATTAGTTCTAAAATTTTAGACTACAAAAACTGTCCCTTTCTAATTTCCTCAGGAGCACATGCTGGCTTCAGCATGAGGGACGTCACAACCCAGTGATGCGTCACTGCAGGCCCTGGCATGACCAATACCAAGTGCAGAGCAGGCTGGGGCAGGGGCTCTGTCCCGGGTCGGATTCATCTTTGTAACCCTGGTCCCTGACACATTTAAAAAGACATACACCAATGACATTGCTTGGTAAAAGTGGCAAGTGAACATTCTCTAACAGACAGGTTTAAATGCAATTTGTAGACAAAATCCAATTTATATTAGGTATGATTGTAATACAAAGGAACTAAATCTCAAATTACTGCATAAGGGAATAAAACTCAAAATGTAGTCACCTGCAAATCATCACATATCACCTCCAACAGCTCTGCCTTCTAAGTGTGTATTCGGGGAATACATTTCGTAGAGGGGAACCCACAGTTTAAATTAATCCTATCTGTACCAAACTGAAATCACTCCATTTATCTTGCTTAATTCACTAAATATTTTATCACGAGGCCTTTCCTATGTCATTAAATGTTCTTAAACATTTCTTCTCTTGTTCAAGATAAGGAGCTACAGGATATCTATTAACATAATTTAGAGGGCAGATGTCCAGTGGGTGACCGAGGCTCTGCCCGCATGCCCCGTGGAGAAGGCCATCTCCCCAGGTGGCTGCTCTGTGGATGTTCAGGAAACAGGTGTCCATGTGACCTTTCTGCAGAAGCGAGAATGTTCTATATCTAATTCCATGATAGCTGCTGGATATGGTGGACTAAGCATGTTTGGGCCTTGAAGTCAGATAGTCCAGGGTACCAGAATAAAAATCCTGGTTTTAGCCGGGCGCGGTGGCTCACGCCTGTAATCCTAGCTCTCTGGGAGGCTGAGGCGGGCGGATTGCTCGAGGTCAGGAGTTCAAAACCAGCCTGAGCAAGAGTGAGACCCCGTCTCTACTATAAATACAAAAGAAATTAATTGGCCAACTGATATATATATATATAAATTAGCCGGGCATGGTGGCGCATGCCTGTAGTCCCAGCTACTTGGGAGGCTGAGGCAGAAGGATCGCTCGAGCCTAGGAGTTTGAGGTTGCTGTGAGCTAGGCTGACGCCACGGCACTCACTCTAGCCTGGGCAACAAAGCGAGACTCTGTCTCAAAAAAAAAAAAAAAAAAAATCCTGGTTTTATTATTTATAAGCTGACTCTGGATATTTTTCTTCTTTCCCTCATCTGTAACACAGGACTATATACCTCCCCTGAAGGCTGTCACATGGGTTAAATGATGGTTAGTCTGTGCAGCATGCTCAATAAATGTGCTTCCCCTTCTTCCTTTCATAATGATTAACATCCACAAGCAGAGTGTTCACATCGGACACAAAAATGCAACTTACCTTATCAATCATCTTCATCCATTTTGGCAAATCATCAAACGTCTCCTTCTTAGTGATATCATACACTAATATGATCCCCTTGGCACTTCTGTAATAAGCTGAGGTAATGCTGTTGAATCTCTCCTGACCTGCTGTGTCCCTAAGAAACAGCAGAAAAAATCAGTTCCCAAACAATAACCAAAGTAAGTGACTCTATATTCCAATGCAAATGTAAAATATGCTTCTGTTTTTTTACTATGAAAAGAACACGAGTAACGTGCACATTTCTTTTCCTTCCCCTGATGATCACAGTTAAAGAGGGTGGGGAAAAATTCAGGTTGACTAAAACTATATAAGATATAAGCTATCTTTGTACATGGGTTAACTAAATTAGATGAATGGGGATGGATTATGAACCAAAATCAATATACTGTTCCAGAATAACTTTTACCCCTAAAAGATAGTAAATCAGCAACAGAAATGCTAACATCAAAATATATGATCATTATGTTTTTCCAAAATAATAACAGGAGGTAAAAAGCTTTTAAGATGCAGTATTTACAAAGCAATCCCTAAGAATTCACATTGTAGGTGGTTTACGAAACCATTCATCATACCTGAGAGCTAAGATGATGTACAGGGAATGCAAATTTCACACACACGCACACAAGCACCCACTCCCGCTCTCACACACAACATGAGACTACAGAGAATGAATGCCCCCATGTCAAAGAGAACCATTTCTCACTAGCCACCACTGCTAGTGCTGAGGGTGACGCTGGGATCACCAACTATCGCTTCAGATGAGAGAAGAAAACTGATTCACAACTGCAATCCTAGCAGGCGTGGCCTCAAGTCAGCAGCACTGGGCCTGTGGGGACAAGCAGGGCCAGCGTGTCTGGGGTCACCCCGGCCATGTCCGCCAACTCGGAGAGCAGCATCCCCACGGCAGGCCGAGCTCTGCTGCACGCCAGGTGACGCCTCACGCCTGCGCTGACACCCGAGCACAGGCACTGCTGTTAGCTGGGGCAGCGTCTCTGGACTAGTTATGGCCAAACAAAAATATACAGAAGTCACAGTTACTTCCAAACCAAGATTTTGAAAATGAGAAAATAAGAATTTTCATGGCAAAAAGTCATAGTCATAATAATAAAAGGGAGGAGAGAGGTCAATGCCATAATAAAGATGCTGTATATTCCTCTTTGGGGGATGTACTTTAAAAAAAAAAAAAAAAAGATGCTGTATAGAGGAAAATCTTAACTTTTTTCAAATAAAATGTCTTTCCAATGTGACAATTTGGACAGAAATAATAAAGCATAAAAGTAATTTTTGATCTCTTACTTTGCAATCAAAGGGCAAACATGAAGTAACATTAGGCTTGTAATAAATTTTTGACATTATAGAATAAATCATAACAGTACAAGGAAATTTACTACTATAAATTATAATGCAAGTTCACTTGACCACACTTTTCCCATCATAAAAACATAAACTTTGTTCTAGAAGGTTCTGAGTCCCCAGTCTACTAGACTGTGAGGGAAACTGAGGAAATGGAGGGAACAAGAGGAACAGCAAAGATGTACAGAGAGTTAGGCAGTAGGCTGACATGAAACTGTTTTTTTTTCCCTAGTCATAACGTAACATGCTCAAGTCAGTTTTTCTAGGTGTTTTGCTTCTATAAATTTGTTCAGTAACAGGTACATGTGCTATTATTTCCCAATTTCCTCAAAAGCTCTGGCTCAAACCCTACCTAGGGTGGATGACAGGCATTTTTGGGTACGCTGTGCTGTCAGCAGGCAGGGCAGTGGACAGAGGCGCGGGGCACCTGGCACTGCTGCTGGCTCCACGACTAGGCCCCGCTGAGGAACAACTTTCCTGAACTGAACTTTCAGCTGCCTCACGTGTGAAGTGGCAGAGGTTCTAACACACTCGACAGCAGGCAGTTATCAACAGTGAGGGCATGCAGAGACGATGCGAGACACTATTTAAACCTAATTCTCCTGTAACATACATCGGTAATATCTCCTTTTGTTGATAAAATGGTCCCCCACTAACAAAAATGCTACAGAAGTAGTCTTGTTATTTTCTTAATCCTAAACAGAAAAGGTGGTCAAAGCAAAAGATAGGAGAGACACCAAACAGATTTGCAAACACAGTGAAGTTCACTATTCCAGGATTGCTAATTTGAAATCTAAAACTTTCTTTCTCCTCCAAATGGACACTGGCCACTTCAACTTGAAGAATGACGTAAGCACTTCACAGCGCACAGACGCGGCTATACGCCGAGAAACCGCTTGAGAACCATCACATATTTCTAACTACAACGATGCTCAACGGAGAAGGTTTCTGATCAGGAGGGACTTAACAAGGAACACAATTTCTTTAAAGACCATATATAGCATCTCCGCCACCGGGAGGGCGGCCCGGGCCGGCTGGAGGCGAGGGCGTGGAGCCCGAGCGTGGACACCCAGCTGCCTAGGGCCCGGGAGCCGGAGCCCGGTGCGGCCCGCGCTACAGCCCGGCTCCCGCTCCTGCTGGCGCTGCTGGCCGCCGCCGTGGGGTGCCAGGAGCAGGCCCAGGCCCCCGACTGGAGGGCCACGCTGAAGACCATCCGCAACGGCGTGCGCAAGATAGACACGTGCCTGAACGCCGCCCTGCACCTCCTGGGAGGCGGGGACGGCTCTGCCAGTGCAAGTGCAGCCACGGATCTAAGCCTTCCCACGTCATGCTATAAGCCCTCCCCGCCAGATGGATGTGGCTCTCCACTGTTTGGTGCTCATCTGAACACCAGTATCCCTTCCCTGACAAAGTGCTGCAACCACACGACAGGTGCTATGAGACCTGTGGCAAAAGCAAGAATGACCGTGATGAGGAGTTCCAGTGCTGCCTGTCCAAGATCTGCCGGGACGTGCAGAAAACGCTGGGACTAGCTCAGCACGTTCAGGCAGTGAAACAGCGGTGGAGCTGCTGTCCGACAGCGCCGTACATGTAGGCTGCAAACCGCACCTGGACGTCGGCGAGCCGCATGCAGGTGTCCTCACGAAGAAAAGACTGATCTTTAGGGCACTGACAGCTGACGACAGAGGAGGATGGGAGAACATAACCTTTGACAAAGAACTAATGTTTTTACAGGACAAAGCTATCTTACTTTGTGAGAAGACTAAGCCCTTACAAGAGTTTATATTTTGACGTTAAAACCTCAAAGGGAAACGACAGGGGAAGCAGCGAGGAGGGACGCCCACCTGCTCTTCCTGGCGGTGGTGCCTGCTGCGCCACGCTGTCCAGGCAAGGGTGTGTTAAGAGGAGAACTTTTAAAAAGAAGAATATATTACTCAATTTTCACAACAATATTTACAAAAAAGAGATCAAATATAAAATTCATTATAAGGTCTGTTCAACATTATTTGGAAATATGGAAGATTCTTTATATTAATAGAAGTATTATTTGTTTACTAGGAAATTTTAAATGTACATTTATACCTGAAAAGAACTGAATTTATTTTTTCTCTATTTTAATTACACATAATTTGTTTCTCTTTAGCCCTGGAGCACATAGATGAGTCACACATCTATGAGAACTAGTTACAAGGACAAGGTTTCCGTGTCTGTTTCTCTTGTAAAGTTGGAACAATCATCTGGTTTCCTTGCAGGGAGCAAACCCAGGATATCTAAGTGTTACGTAGTGTGCGTGGAAGATGCTGTGAACAAGATTCGGAAGCATAGCCACTTCCGTTTTATGAACCACTCATGTGACAAATGTCATCTTTTCTACATAACCTTTGCCTTACTTGGAGAAAAGATGGATTTAATGAAACAAATGGAAAGTTCAACACAACACATCAGGGCACTATTTGCTCTTATGCTTTTATGTTTATTCCCTAGCGCTTGTTCCCCATGGTAGATTCTGGGATATTTTTAAAACACTGTAACTTTTACTAATTGTGGTCTTAATGCCTTATTGTTAAACAAACAAAAAAGCTCACTAAGAACACCACTGCTTTGTTCCACAGCAGGTGTCCTCAAACTACGGCCCACGGGCCACATGCGGGTGTTTTTGCCCGTTTGTTTTTTCACTTCAAAATAAGGTATGTGCAGTGTGCATAGGAATTTGTTCATAGTTTTTTTTAAAACTATAGTCTGGCCCTCTAACTGTCTGAGGGACAGTGAACTGGCCCCCTGTTTAAAAAATTTGAGGACCCCTGCTCCAGAGGATGTAAGCAGCCTTACCCAGGGGCTCTGAATGGAAGCCCCAGGAGGGCAGAGGCTGGTCTGTTTTTGTCCACCAGGGTCCAGCAGAAAACTGTGCTGGGCAGAAGGTTACATGTTTAAAATCCAGAGAGCTGGTGCCCCTTCAAGGCAAAACAAACTTCATATTTTGGGCCAGAAATGCATAAAAAAAAAAAAAAAAGGAAATCGGAAATCTAAAGAATATGACAGATTAGATAGAGACTGAATTCTTCAGGATTTCTAAAAACAACTAAAAGACAACACTAACAGGCACTTTCAAGGCAGTTGAGAAATAGATTTAACCACTTCAGTATAGCGCTCACCGGCCACAAAACCTTGCCTACAGCCGGCACTCACAGTTCGCAAGGTTTTTGTGTTGTGCACAGTCGACGCTCGGCTGTGTGCGTTCATCTGTGGCTATCGACTGCAGTCGATGCTCGTACCAAAGTGGTTAAATGCCATTTGATTTCCATAGGGAATCAGTGAATAAAATTATTTCTCTAATCCTTAGCACTTAGGAATATACATTAATATTTTCAAATCAGTAAAGAGTTATTAAATCCTTCAGAGCGTAGTTTGCCACCCTATCACAAGTTATGGCTTCTCCAAATCAGGATTTGATCAAATGTTTTAACATCTTAAAAAAATTCTGTGCTGCATACTGTTAAGAAACATTTCCTATTTCTTTAAAAAGTCAATATAGCACATATTTTCTTCTACTCTGAAATCTGTAGTTAGCACAATATAGCTGAACTGCAAATTTAAACAACAATCAGATATAAGATCTTCACTGAGCACTTTGGGAATTATGTGCTTTAATACATCTTCCTTCTGGCACTCTAGCCCAGGCAACAGAGGGAGACTCTGTCTCAACAACAACAAAAAAACCCATTGTCATTCTAAGCAATTTTAATCTAGCTTTTAGTGTAAATC